CCTGTCATTGCTCTTTCACAGTTTCTAGTGTTGACAATAAGGGTTTAAGAAGATATTTAAACCGTATCACAATATTTAGTTTTGTGATTTTGTAAACTGTATTGATATTTTGTGTTTAAAATCCAGGTAAAATGTAAGTTTATTTCTAAAATTGCATTATTGGCTATATTGTATTTACAATGTATGCCAAAAAAAACTATTTCTTTGTCTTTTTATATCAAAATTCAATCATTTTGTCTCCATTGGGTGCTTAAATAGGCATGAACTAACCAAATTCAATCAATAATCTGAACTGCTAATGAAGCTGGTGTTAGCTGCAACCTAACGGGGCTCAGCAGCCTCCCAGTGAACACAACCTCTGAGACAAATGGAGTCAGTTTGATCACAGTGGTACCGAGGTGAATTATAGTTTCCAGATGGACTTGTTGCTATAAGAAGCTCACTTTCGCAGGATCAGGTAATAGGACCGCTATAGCTGCTGGACTCGGGGTAACTCATAGTGCTATTGGCTACCGGGTCAAGTCCCCCCATAGTTGTCTGTTTTTCTAGGAAGCATCAGTACTCTGATTTTCGTTTGCCTATTATTGTTGGGCACATGATCATTATGTATGTATGTATGTATGTATGTGCAAACCTTAGTTTTCTAACCAGTGCACACAGTTTGTCTGTGGAGTAAACAACATGATTTAGTTTTACCAAGCACTATAAATGTATCCTTGGAACCAGATAAATATGCAGAGCTCATGATGCTTCATTTAATCTGACGATGGCAGGCCGCTATAGATCTCTGGCATAGAGATATTTAAAACTATTATTTTGTGCAGGAAGTGTTTAAATCTTTGGTGTATACAGTACATCTCTGGTGTACCATAGTGTTGTTAGATGCTTGTAAAGCTGAATGTGGTCGTGTGATATGGTGTCTCCAGTCTCCAGAAGTGTGGTATTTGTGATGAATACTGGTTTATTCTTTTATTAGCCAGGCCAGGTTGTGTTTGATCAAATGCCATCTCTAAAGAAATGTGTTGAAATACTCAATCATACTCAAAACAATTGATCAAATTATCATCTCAAATTTATTTGGGGATTTCAAAGTGCATACATGAACAATGATGTTCTGAAGTGGGCAAAGTCAGATTTTACACAACGAAAATGTTTGAAACCATCAATTTTCCTCAGATATGACTCCTAAAGCAAAAACAACCTATTTAAAAAAAGCTGAATGTGATTGCATAATCAATACAGTAAAATAACATTTAAAATATCTGTATTTTTTCACAGCAATAGGCTACTAACAAAGGGCAACTAAATGCTTTAGATTAAAGCAGAGGAACAAGTCCATATAGCCACGACAGAAAAATAAAAAATCAAAGTTACAGGAACATCATTTTAACAAGTACGACACTTAATGCGATGCAGAGACAAGTAGAGGTATTTGATCATACGCACATTTCAAAGTGAAACTAAACCTGTCTTATCAAGTCATCCGATTTCAAACATTTACAAAACGTTTATCAATCTTCCCATCCAACTCAGACTGAGATGGGAAACAAACCTATCACCCAAAATGTTGTGGTTTCTGTTTGACAAATGTTTCCGCTAGATCTCACCGTGTTTATGGCATGGAAGAAACCACTGAATGGCAGCCAAGGCTACTCTTTTTTAACGTCAATTGTTTAGCACTTTAATCATAACCACACCAAACCCTTCATTAACATAACCAATCCTATACTTACTAAACTGTATCTATCTCTAACATAATACCTAAACACATACCACACCAACCCCCCTCCTGTTCTGTACCGACATAACCAGTTCCTTCACATGACATGAATCCACCTAAACTTAACCATTTCTGTATAACAACCAAAACTTACAATATCCTTGCCAGGCAATTACAGTTTAATTTAAAGTTTGGCAAGTAAAACTGCCTAATTTAGGTTGGGGATGGATTGTCGTCATGGTAAAATGTACCAAAAAAAATGTACAGAAAGCAAATACACATTTTTGGTCTGAGACAAGTTGCAAACCCTGGTCTCCAGTATCAAAATCAAACATTTTACATTCCCATCCACAATCCCAGCTTTCACTTCACACCTTCTCCTTCTCTACCTTAATGGCACACTACTTCCTGCATTGTTGCTGAACATCAATTGAAGTAAATCATCTACAGAAACGTCCAATATGAACCTAATTCTTTAGGGAGGAGGAACCCCTAAACCTAAAACCATCACCATTTTATTTCACCACAGAACTTCTTAGAACACGATCTTATTTTTTAACACATACCATTGCCGTCATTCAGTCACTCCTACACCTCACAATATTAAGTCCTTCAATCAATCTCACCAACCCAAATAAATTGACTTAATTAACAAGTTAGAACGTTACAAAGTCCTTCCTAAAGGCATCCAACTGGGTCTTATTTGTTTCAGATAGTTGTCATTACTACACCATACACCAGTAAGGCTGACTCAAGTCTTCCATGCCATAAATCCATTGTATCTAGCACAACATGTCAGGAGGAAGGAAAAATCTTGTTAATTTTAAAGCTCCTTGTGGGAGCTTTTATGGGACACGTGCCGCTTAACTGGCAAATTCAAATGAAGAAGACAGGGGTCTAAAATCAAAATCTCTGTCCTCAATCGAGTTTTTATTTTTTCTCAATGGTAGTCATAAACATCGCATTTATGTTGTTAAAAGGTCAGCAAGCTTGTTCAATAGCTACTGAACATGATTGCCTCTGAAAGTCCACCACGACACAAATCTTATGGTATAAGACACCAATTATTCTCCTACAAAACGATCGTTTTTTTTAATGTGTTTTCGGTATCTCTCTTTTTCTTTACTGTTTGCACAATGATAAAACAGTTAAGTTACAAACAGAGACAGTAACAACAGGGAAAGGACCAAATTGTGCACATACACTTACAAATGTATCTGACTTGAAATAACTAAATGCTACTAAGTGCTCAGCTCAGTGAAGAGACAGAGAAAAAAAAAAAAACTTTTTAAAAATTCATGTTAGTGCTTTATCAGTGCTATGACATATCAATCTCTTTAGCAACTTGTCCATATTTAGCACCACCACTCGTCCACCTGCTTCAGTAACAGGGTGGGTGTACATGACAGTCATTGTATCTCCACCTCACATGAGATACTTGTGCAAATGCTATGCTTTAAATCTTAAACCCCACAGAGCAGTGGTGTAGTCTATGATTGTGCACATATATAAGCTGTATACCATTCTCTGTATTCCTGCTACAAAATAAAATGTAAAGCACAATATTAAATAAATTTATATTTCAAGTTATGGACTTAATTTAACACTCAATTAATCTGTGTGCAAAAAGTAAAATGGAAAAAAAAAACCCTGACATCTTAAATTACAAGGGACAGATGCCTATGTTTTGATTCACATGCCAGACATGCACCATAAATGCATTAAAAAAATAGTTGTTTAGGTGCATCCATCCATGTTTACTGTACAACAAGTTACTATAACACGAAAAATTAGCATTTTAATTAACATCTTGTAAGACAGGCTAAACTAGATGAAAGCTCAACAGTGATGACAGCAGGTGTGAGTCATGTGTCCCTTAACAGTATTTGCTTTTAGACTACACCACTGTTACATCGTCCTAGTCTTTACACATACACACAGTACTTGTCCATAAGCACTGGGTTTTACAACACAGCTGACCAAAACTTGATTCTTTGCTTTAAAGAGTAACTACACAAGTTTAAAAGTCCAGCTTGCGACACCATCTAGTGGCTCTGGCATGCTGTCTCCACAACCTGTGCAATGCAGCAGACATTTTCCTACTGTGCAAAACACCTCAACAACAGACTACACCCAAAATAAAAGCTTGTCCATTTGCTTCGATAAAGACATTACAGTATCACTCGTACTGTACAACTGACTGGTGATCTCAGTGTGGTGCATTGAAGGACAAATACAGCAATGAGTGCTTAGCACCAATGATGGAGAGAAAGCAAAACAGAAAAAAGAAATCTTTGTGAGGATTTCACAGAATACGGCTGACCGCTAAGGGTAACAAAACCTCTTTTATAGCTGGTGGTGAACTTATAGTACCAGAACCGGTCTCAAAACAGCACCCAGCCGTATTATCCATATTATCATTAATAATACATTTAATATAACGGTAATCCGTTTGCACAACAGTGGCATGCACAGTTAAACATTTACACCTTTTCACTGCCACAAAGTAGGAATTTTTTTCAATTCCTATGGCAACAAACTGATAACTTCAAGTGTACATACGCAATGAGCATCAAGCACGTGTTTGACTAACAACCGCTAAGAGAGAATGGGAATTTAAGGTGACCCATTTAACAGGAAAATATACATACAGAAAAATTAACATTGCAATCAAACCAATGACAAAATGTAAAATCAAATATTCATATTATGCTTGAAATTAATGGGCAACCCAAACTGACTATGCTATATTTAATAAGCACTGTATTTCCATCTATAAAAATAGTTTAATGATTCACTGTAACCCACAAGCGCCACTTCATTCCCACCCACACAAGCACTATCGAAGGAGTCCCTGTTACCTATGCAGGGCTAGGATAGGCCTGAGATGTAAACTATTCTTATTTCAAAATGAGATATTTATCATTATAGATGTAAATTTCCATCACCATTTTGAATATACCTCACACTTAAGGAGAGCTGTGTACAACATTTATCAAACGAGTGAATTCCAATATCATCATTGTATCACATGTTATGGCAATATACTCTTATTTGGTCCACTATAGCTGGAATCATACCTTGTTAGTTAGTAGCTAATTAACCAGCAACACTAGCTCTACAACTGCTTGGTCAATCATAAGTCTTAATGTGTTGAAGTAACAATTTTTTACAGCTCATTTTAAATAATATGTATAATTTCGATGTGCATTTTTAGCCTCTCTGTCTTTAGTTTTTACAGTTTCCAGCTGTACGCTTCAGATCATGGCTAAAATGTAGCAATTATCTAAGTTCTTTGTTTCTCTAATTTTGTATTAAAAAGTTTACGTAAATTTAAAACACTGGGTAAATGTTCAGGCCTGTGTCATGTGTGCAGCTTCTCATACCAAGTGTGATGTAAGTTCAATGTGGCAACTGACAGAAGAATAAGGTCTATTTGATGCTCAGTTTTACAAAATTTAATATAATAATTGAAATGTGATGCTTAAAAGCAGTCAGTCATAGGAAAACGACTACATTTAATAATAACACTCTCTTTGAGCGGACTTCAGGGTACTTGTACTGTTGTAGATTTGTATCCAGCCAGATACAATCTCAGTGTTCGGTTCATCACACCTAACATCATACTCATAAATGGGACAAGACGACTGTCCTGAGAGTAACACAAAGAAAATTATGATGGCTGGAACAGGAAAACTTAAGGGCACTTTTCAACCAGAACCCAATATCTAAGACTTGTATTATCACTCCACATCAGGCTCCAGAGACTTATCAGAGCTCTTTTATCACTAACTCTAAAAACTAACTCTGTCTGACTCATCGATGATTGATCTGAACCTGATTGATATCTCGCATATATCTAAGTAACTGTGCTTTCTTTTTCAAAATTTGTACACAACACAGAAATGCTTTCATTCGCCTGTGCCTCGTGTCTGCTGCTTCACAGTAAATACCCGCTCATATATTATTTTTAACGAGTGAGTTTAAAGCAACACACAAACTTTACTGTGATTGTCCTATTTTTCTACAAACAAAAATCTACATCTCACATCAGAATAATTTGAAAGACGCTACAAGGACAATGCTGTGAAGCATAAATACACCCCAGAGGTAGAATCAATGAATTTATAGTATATCTCATTTATAATGTCCTGAAGATATTGCACAAATGTGCAGAATGAAGACAGGACATGCACATGAGTTTAATTACCCTTGAGTGCTTATGCTCCTGAAAATCCCAATGTGAAAACTGAAAGATTCACAGATATCAGTATGAACTTTTATACTCTTAATAGGGCTTCCCCCAGAAAAGTCCACGATTTGGGTCATCAGCCGAGAAGACCCCGAGTCGACTCGCATTTTGTCAGTCAAATCTCTGCACTTTCATTTTCTTTTTTTAAGCTGCGTCACTGTACACAGAGCGAAAGCATAGCAGGCTGTAAACCGAATCTTAAAATGCCCGTAAACCACAATAACCGTGATAATTAATGGAGAGCAGCGTGACGCCGGACAGCGGAGCAGCAGCTGCACTCTGGACCAGTGATGACTCTCAATGAAGTTCAATGAAGTTGAACCAAACGGTGATACAACCGTCTCTACCGTTGTCCACTGTGAGTTAGGGCTGCTCGATTATGGAAAATGATAAACACCGATATTTGGTCAAAATTGAAAATCACAGATATATATTTCAAAAACGAATATATTTTTTATAAACTTAGAAAACGTGCTGCATAATAATATGGACATATGTGTCAAAAAACAATTTGCAAAGGAAGTCCTACAAATAATTACACTTTACCTTTCCACGTAAACATAATGAGTAAAGTCCCATCAAGTAAACTATGTTCAAAAAAGAAAAACAAGTAAAGGAGAAGAGCAACTAGTGTCGCGACACCAGCGAAGTATAAATAGTTACGGTGCTCCCCGGTGACTTCACATTGTTTCGGGGGACCAGGTCGGGAAGCAGGCAAGTATACGAGCGCATGACTCGTGTGCAGTGCATGCTGTGGGGGAGGGACGGAAAT